TGAGGCAATGGAAATTACCATGGCTTGAGTCAGGTGTATCTTAGTCCTCAAAGTAACCTTGCTTTTCAAGCAGTCTTGTGCAGATGTACCCAATGTAATGCATCACTTGATCTCAACTGCTGCTTCCATGAGCACTGATTGTGAATCCAAGCAAAATTAAATTCCTGACTTTAATCTTTTCTCAGTTTATCATAATGTTAACTATTGATCCAGTTGTGAGGACTTTGGTTTTATTTATATTGAATTGTAATCCATACTGAAGACAACAATCCTTGATCTTCATTAGCAGATGCTTCAAGTCCTTGTCATTTTCAGCAAGTATGATTGTGTTATCTGCATATTGCAGATCGTTAATAATAAGCCTTCCTCCCATCATGATGCCATATTCTTCTTAGTATAATGAAGCCTCTCTGATGATCTGCTCAACATACATTTTCAATAAGTGTGGTGAGAGAATATAACCCTGATGCACGTATTTCCTTTCCTGATTTTAAACTATGCAGTATTCCCTTGTTCTGTTCACACAACTGACTTTCGATGCACGTACAGATTACACATAAGCACAATGAAATGCCCATTTTTCTCAAAGTTATCTATAGTTCGTTGTGATTCACACAGTCAACTGACTTTGCATAATCAATGAAACACATATTAGCATCTTTCTGGTATTCTCTGCTTTCAGCCAAGATCCATCTAATGTCAGCAATATTTTAAAATTTTACTTGCATATGCACCGATGATACTATTCTATAATTCACACATTCAACTGGGTCACCTTTCTTTGGAATGGGTAAAAATAACGGATCTCTTCCAGTCAGCCAGGTAGCTGTCTTCCAAATTGCTTGGCATAAACCAGTGAGTGCTTGCAGTGCTTCATCAGCTTGTTGAATCATTTCAGTTGGTAGCCTTGTTCTTGATGAATGCTTTGTGCAGCTTGGGCTTCTTCCTTCAATAACATTGATTCTTGCTTATATGATACCTCTTGAAATAGCTGGATGTCACCTAGTTCATTTAGGTACAGTGGCTGTGTATTCCTTCCATTTCCTTTTCATGCTTTCTGCATTTTTTAATATTGCAACACCAGGCTTGGATTTTTTCTTTAGTGCTTTCAGTGTAAGATATGCTAAGCCTGTTCTTCCTTTTTGATTTTCTAACTCTAGGTCTTTGTACATTTCATTATAATTGTGCTGACTCAATGTTTTATAATTTACCTCTAGGTTCTAATATCCATTGCAATGGCTAGACAGGGCACCCAAGTGAACTAATATACTAGCATATGAGGTACTCTCAAAGAGATGTCCCTAAGTGACACAAATGAGCAGCACTCAACTATTAGCCAGAATGCTGACAGTCCAAAACCACCCCAAAATGCCTCAGAAGACAGACCTGCTGAGCTTTGTCTTAAAAGTGACAGCCTTGAAAACTCTATGGAGTACTTTTGCTGTGCACACATTACGTCTGCCATGAATCAGATATCGACTAGACAGCAAACTATCAACAATGTTTACCTTCTGCTTGATATGAAGTAACTAGCTGCAAGGTAAATGGAGTACTGATGATACACAGTGACCTAGTGAGTGACTCATTAGGCTGCTAACAAGGTCAGCAGTTTGATGAGTGACTCATTAGGCTGCTAACAACAAGGTCAGCAGTTCGAACTCAACAGTTATTACACAGAAGGTTGCTTCCATAATGATTTACAGCCTTGGAAATCCACAAAAAGCAGTTCTACTCTGTCCTAAAGGGTTGCTATGAATTGGAACTGAATAAATGGCAGTGAATTTGGTTTTGAAGCTGCTAGGTAGTCATTCAGATTTGGCTTTTATCCCAGTGATGATTATAGTGATTAAATGAAAAATCATGAATAAATAATGTAGTAACTTTTTATTTAATTCTCGAAACTCAAGTCACATGAGGATCAAATAAGCATCCACAAGGCAGCTATTGACATCTAACAGGCACATGCAGACCATCTTTTTCCAATGATTTCTAGGGTAAGCAATCAACAGAAAGTAAGACTGATCTTTCAGACATTCTATATTATTGTTCATGATCTCAAAAACAATTCAATGTATGTGGTGTTCATGTCATCAGAGAAAACGCAAAGAGAAAACATATACTAAGAAATAAAATTTTGTCAGGGAGTAATTGAGGTATTGCTATTTCAAGAGAATGACAATCTGAGCTGTATGTGACCAAAAAGAAAAACAAAACACACACACATTTTTTTTCATCAAACTTCTTCATGAAAAAGTTTAACTTTGGCAAATCGACAAATGTAACGAATTTTTCATTTTCATTTAATTATGATTATTTTCCCCCAAAAAATCATCATTTGTATTTCTTTCCTCTGAAATGTCTTTTCATATCCTTGGCAATTTTTCTATTTTCTCTCCCTGAATTGGCAGACCTCTGTTTTCCATAGTGCTCCGTGTATTATCTCAATTTCTAGTTTGTCCTGATGTTATAGCAGCTTTCAGTACATCAAAATTCAAAATTTTTATTTAATTAAAATTTTAATTTGTCTAATGCTGAGCTCTGTCCCTGAGTTGTGTCATTTCTGCACTCTGGCATTAGAACAGCTTAGAAAACAGATGCTATTTTGCCAGTGATTTAGTATCAGAGAACTGACATGGTCATGCTTCCAAAGAAAGCACCATTCTTTTTTCAAAAGAAATTATACACATAAAATCCTCCTGTTTTTGTTCAGATAGATTTAGTTTCTAAACTTACTTACAAAGAGATTTTTAAAGGCTTCCTGCTTTTCTAATACCAACAAGTATTCACATTAATGGTGCTCACTTTATCCTTTAAAATATATTTATTTATAAAAAAAGGCGACCTGGTGATTTAGTGGTTACAAGTTGGGCTACTAACCACAAGGTCTGCAGTTCAAAACCACCAGCTGCTCCTGAGAAGAAAGACGGGACTTTCTACTCCAGTAAACAGTGAGGGTCTCAGAAATTCAGAGGCATAAATCTTTACATCAATTTACATACCCCCCTAAAGTATAAGATTGCCACCTTCTTCACACCTTTCCTAACACATTTAATAATAATCAAACTATTTGCACCTGAGAGTTGAAAAACAGTAATGCACTGTACTCTGTATTTCATTAGTTTAAGTAGCTATTTTCGATGAACTGCATATCATGTTCTTTTCCTATTCCGATCATATGTTAGGCTTTTGGAGGAGGCATTTTGCCTTTTTATATTTGGATATAGCCCTAAATGTTCCTTAAATGTTTCCTTTAATGTTTTAAGAATTCAACGTGGCTACTGTTTAAAATTAGTTCACACACATAAAGACCAGTGGTATAATAGTTAAGCTAACTGACAAAGTGGCAGTTCAAACTCACTCAGTGGTTCCACGGGAAAAGTAAGATTATAACCAACAAAACTCTGGGGAAGTTCTACTCTGGCACACAGTTATTGTTAGTGGGAACCACTGAAAGATACCTACACAAGAGGCAGTAAGAACTACAAAATGAAAGCACACACGCCATGATCTTTATAGAGTTATATAGCTAATTTCTCCCTTCTTAGCATTCCTGATTTTCTAAATTTATAGGAAAGATAATGTGAAGCTTCATGTTCATTGCTTTCACTGGTTTTGTCTCTGTACTTGTTTGGTGTTTTGAAATTAAAAAGTTTAATTGCATAAACTAGCATCAAATATATCCATAAGCATACAATCCACAAAGCTATAAAATAGTTGGTTTAACACAGACACTCATAGAATAACTGATGAAGAAAAACTGCCATGTTGTTTCTTATAAATAATGTTATCAGTACAGGTGTGCCAATTTTAATGAGGTTCTGTGATGTTTTAGCATAAAAAGTGGGAATATGGTGGTTCAAAAACACATGAAAATTTATTCCATTAAAAGAAATGTCCAGGGGGGAGGGAAAAAGGAGGAGATGATACGAAGGGCTCAATAGAAAGTAAATGTCTAGAAAAGAATAATGGCAATATTATGTACAAATATGCCTGATACAATTGCTGTATGGATTATAATAAGAGCTGGAACAGTCCCAATAAAATGATCTTTAATTTTAAAAAGTGTAAGCAATATTAGAATAATCTATTTTTTAATAATATAAAACTCATTAAAAAAGAAAAAGACATTTCAAAAAGAAGTCTTGATATTAGAGTCAGATGAAACAACAATTTGCAGAGCCAGAACTTGAGTCTGAATCTTACTTGAGGGGATTAACAAGGAAATGATCAGTTTTTCTAATAAAATTCTAGAAATGATAATTGTAGCTTCCAAAGTAGCAAAAGAAAAATTTTTACAAACACAAAATCAATCAATTCAAGATAAGAAATGATGTGTTATTTTCTTGACTGTGAGTATATATTTCTTACAAATTTTATATGGGAATACTTTAAAGTTTATTTAATGTTAGTTCCCCATGTAAGGAAATTACAACAAATTTCTCATAGCACATGTGAATTCAAAATTTTCACTTCTCTATGTCCTTATTATTCATTTTTATGGATTCTCATTTATGTTATAGTCAAGAACATACAGTTAATTTTAGTTATCTTATTTATTTAATATATGAATTTAAAGTTTGTTGTACATATTAACTTAATAGAAAATGGATCCATCTTGAATGTTTTTTCTTAAAGTAAAAATAAAAGATTTCAGAATAGTATGTGACAAAAATAATCTTATGTGCCAACTAGGCTATAATTCTCAGTGGCTAAAAGATATTAAACTGATTGCTGTTCTGTAATGCTATAGGAAAAAATACAATATACTATAATCCCTAAAAAAAAAAAAAAAGCATAATGGCATACCCTTTCAATTTATGGGAACTCATCCAAAAGATTTCTCAGAGTAAAATTAATTAATCATCTTTTAAAGGAAGAGGCAATTGATTTCTGTAAGAAATTAGATTTTTGCTATGCCTTGAAAAGTGTTTTGGTGATTTTATCTTTTGATTTTAAGATAAATTTTGCTACAAAGAAATTATATTAATTTGCGTACCTACCAAATTCTCAATGCTAGAGAGAGACAAAATTCCTGTGCTTAAGAAACTTACATTATGATGGTCAAACTCAAGAATCCATGTTTTATATTCCAATTTTACAATCATATAAAATGCAGTATAAAGTTATTCCTTTACACTATGGTCTCAAAACTTGTGATACGTCTGTAGTAATTCATTCCACACTTACTACCATCAAGTCAATGCCAACTCATAGTGATCCCCCTGTGGGTTTCTGAGTAGAAAACTCTGTCATTCTCTCAAGCAGCAGATGGTAGTTTCAAACTGCCAACCTTGCAGATTAAAGCCCAACTCGTAACCTCTACACCACCAGGGCACCTCATATAATATAGATACAATAATTTAAAATATTTTAATAGTAATTTTTAAGTTTTTAATAGTTAAATAATGATATGAGAAAATGCTCTATGAGGAAGCTTCAAAAACTTGTGGAAAAATTAAATTAAAAGATATAGGAATTTTTCCATGAACAATTTGAAGCTCTGGTACCTTGCGAAAAACACTGGCTCCAAAATATACTAAAAATACCATGATTACATTAAAAAGATATAGGTGGCTACATACCCCAAAAACCAGGGTGGCACAGTGGTTAATGTACTCAGCTGCTAACCAAATGTTCAGTAACTGGAACCAAGAACACTCTGAAGGAGAATCTGCTTCTCTAAATATCTCCCATCTTAGAAATTCTGTGGGACAGTTATCTGTTCTACAGGGCTGCAGGAGTCAAAATCAAATTGAAGGCAATGCATTTTGTTTTGTTTTGAGTATTACAAAATGAAGTGCCAGTGATCAGTGGCTGGAGCCCACCAGAGGTTCTATGGGAGACAGACGTGGCTCTGCTTCCTAGAAACCTCTATGGGGCAATTCTATTCTATCCCATGGGGTGCTACGAGTCAGAATCTACTTGAGAGAAGGGTGTTTTGTTTTTGTTGTTTTCCTTTGATATAGCAAAACAGTAACCAAGGTTATCTCTTGATTATAAAATTAGTAGTAATCTTACTATTTTGCTTCTGTTTTCCACATTTTCTACTAAGTTAGGAAAGAAATAACTCCAAAAGTGAGTCCACAGAGAATACATTTTCACAAAACTCAATGATTTATCATATAATTAAGTAAAACTAGGACAAAAGTATATTTAATAGTTGCTCTTTCCTCTATGTATTGAGTATTCCTTAAAAAGAAAAGCCATAGTCTGAGATGCTCACCTACCTGACATTATCGCTGAAGACAATGGGTGCACAAGAAAATGTGGTGAAGAAAGCGGATGATGCCTGGCTACCAAAAGATATAACACCTGAAGTCACTGAAGACAATGGGTGCACAAGCGGGTGT